CAGAAACCGATCTTATGCATCATGAAGCCTGCATTCAATCCTGATGCAGGCCAGGACTGGACACATGTATTAAGCTTGGCATGCTCGGCCTGCTCGGCCTATTCACTGCCACAGGCCCACTGGTCACACCTACAGTGATTCTGAAACTAATAAATCATTCCATTGGGCCGTCACCTCACACAGGTATCATTAATAACCTAGGCTCAGTCAGTCACCGCTTTTATTTGCCACATAAATGACACACGTTACAACAGACGATTACAGACCCCACAAAACTAAATGAATTTGCTCAGACACATCTATCACTGCATTGAACCGTGCCATTTTTGGTTTAGATTCATTTATAATTTCCACATACAAGTATTTTACATAATGTAATTTCCACATACATGTATTTTACATAAAACATTGTTCAGCAAATTTATGATAAAAATCAAATTAGAAATTATAATATTCATGATATTCAAATATCAGCCAAAGACTGATAAACCAATGAGCAATATATTGTACATTGTAGATGTGGCAGGGCCAAGATTAAGTTGTAAATGTTCATAGTGTATTAAATAGGAGTAGCTCCCCTTAGCAAAAAGATATCATTTAAAAAGTTGGTTATCGGTCTTTGATTTGCAGTTCTAGTAAATAAATTCTTTTTGGTCCTTTTGTTTGAAATCTTAATTTTTGTCTCCTGTCTCTATTAATTCCATTTCCTTGCGAATTTTCCTTTCAAAGATCCTGAGTTTAGTTTACTTGTATTAGTTTTAGTGCGAGTTCCCAGTGTGTCGTTTTTCTAGGTTACATATAAAATAACAACATTTGTTGCACTCATAAATTTCCAGTTGGAGTACAACAATATTTGTTTTACTAACGCTTTCTTCGTTGACATTTTAGACATTACTTTATCTAAGTAAGATTTGAGGCTTTGCATGGTGGAGATACTAAATGATGAAAGGTTTGCGGAAACACCATGTGCGAATAATTTCTCAACTAAGAGAATGGTTCTGAAAAGAACCAGAGGTATAAACTCGACGTTCCGGTCAGTATGCTCTGACCGTCTTCAGGAGAGAGTTTTACTTTATCTACTTTATCTGCAGACATACATTGTATGTGGTCAAGTTAACACCATGCAGAATCTCTATAGGGCCTTTCCAAATATACCTAACCCCTTTCACACTAGCAAGATGCCTACACTGCTTCTACACAGCTCTCTCAACCCTAGTCAGGACCAGGGTACCAGGCTTGAGAGGCTCGGGACTCTACCTGGGTAAGAAGTATCAAATCTACAGCGACCTGTAAACATGCCGGTGATAGTATGAACTGTGGTGATGGGACCATGGAGGTGGAGTAATGGGAACCAGAAAGGCATACAGGGACCCACATTGATTCCAAAATGGGTAGACGAGACGTTTCTTCCATTCATTTCCCTAACCGCACCTAACGCTACAAAATACTACTAGTAGTAAACTGTAGTATGCAGTACTTAAACATCTAAGTGAGCACAGCACTCATAGTATTTTCTAGTATTTGAGTACCTGCATACATAATTTTTGTAGTACTTTGTAGTATGTGGTACTGTACTCCAAATGAACTCTTAGGGGGTTAGGGTTAATAAGTTAAACTATCAAAATGTACTAATTCACTCGGCTATACCCCCGGCCCTCTCATCTAAATTCTCAGATCTAGAAGCACATTTGAAATGCTATAAAAGATACAAAACAGTCAACTGCACCAGACTAGCGAGATGAAGCCTGGCATCCTGCTAGTTTGCATGAATAGGCCTTACACTAATACACTTACATTGAATGCAGAGTTTATTAAGCAGGGTCATCATTGACGCTTTGATAATGGACCACTTGCTAATCCAAACAAATACACCAACAAAAGCGAGGCCTTCAAGGTCCTTGCAATTCCACAATTTCTTTTTGGGGAAGGATGCTTCATTCACATCAAAGGCCTTTTTAACTGAGGAGTTCAATCCAGCCACTAGTCACACAATCATGCATTATTAATGGTCGGTGTAATGAAGAGGATTCCAACACAATAAAAACAGATTCGACAATGGGTAAGAGGGGTAAACAAACTGCCATACCAGATATGCCACGCTTGGGTAGCCATGTGATAAGGACAAAATTGCAAGATTGTGGTGAACGCTTGGAGTTGAAAATCAATGAAAATTTGGCCGAGTTTTTGCACAACGTGAAATCAAATCATCGGATGCTTTTATGTACACGCGTACACAAGAATCTTTTATTGATAGGGACATTTAAAAATGTGTGAGGACGCTGTTTACTCAACAAATCTTTTTTCTTAAAGGGAATATACATCATTTGCTTTTGCTGTAATTTTCAGAAATGGGTGGAATTGGGGGGTCGGAAATATAAAGCAAATATAGTTACACTAACTTTTTGGAGGTTTTGGGTTCGAAAATGCTATAAAAACCAAGAAAAACGATCATTTTCCTGTAGTCTGGTTCCCTGACTCCATATAAGAAGAAACAGAGCAGTTTACATACATTGGGGGAATTGTAAGGTCAGGGAACCAGTCTAGCAGGCTCGTACCCGTTTATAGGTTTGTAATCGATTGCAAACAAGTGCAATGGTCAATTGGGGCCAGTATTTGATAAAAAGCCAGTTGTTTCCAACGCTGATCGGCCGATCAGCGTTGGAAATTGATACAAAAATACCACTTTTCTTGAAAATGACAGTATACCAGGTGCCATAATTTTACAGGATGCTTTAGACTGTCATTTACCAACATCCTGTTAAGGTATTTCGCAAAAACTTGATAGTTTTATTTTTCGTTGTTTGCAAATGTTGTATATTCCCTTTAATAGGAAATTGTTATACAAATTTAGATTTCTTGGCACATTCAGCATGTTCAGTGTTCAGAATTCTGGGGAAAATGCGAGTTTTAATCATTTCCCTTTGTCATATTCTGCAATCCGATTTGTATGCAAAATAGCCACACTTTTCATTAACTTTAAATGTTAATCTTTTAATTAACATTTTAACCTTTGCTTTGCGGAATCTGATGAATTTCAAACTTGAATTTAAATGCTTATTAAGACCTTTTCTACAAAACCACATAAAAAAACAAAGGTACATAATTTATTTGAAAAATGTATTACTATAATATTAATATTAGGCTGCAAACTAAACAGCTGTCTAGAGCTAGGTCTAGGTCTGCGCCCATTGAAAATACGCGGGGACGCGCTGACAAAAGACGTAGCCGTAGCTCTTGAATCCCGTTACGGACACGGCCTTAGCCCCCCTACGTATAGTTCATCCTAAGCCACAGGATATTCGCGCAATGCAAAAAATATAGCATTACAGGCTGCATTGTGAATTGTGCTATTACACTCACAACGTGCAAGTTATAAAAATCATGTCTTAGTTTTATGAGCTTTCAAAAATTGTTAAAAAAAAAAACACGAAAATTTTGTAAGTAGGCCTAGGCCTATTTCCTAACAAAATTGGAAATATCTTATCAATTTTGCAATGAATGACCTTCATTTAGATGATAAATTTGAAGTAAAAATTGTAAAAAGTGGCGTCAGGTTGCAACATTAAAAAAAAAACGCCCTCTCTTGTTCGGATAACAATCGACATAATGTAGCGCCTGCAGTGCACAAAATGAAAATGACAACACATAAACAAAGTTCATGACAAAAGGAAGTCCCCTTTTCTGTCGATCATAATTCTTACCAAATCAACGACAACAATGCAGTTGTATCTGCCTTCGTTTGGTGCTACTGGTCACATGAAAATAACGGCGAAATTTAGTCCATTTTGCGATGACTTTTGGCAGGATCGCTGCCGAGTTTCGATGTCGATGACAGTCATGCGTGCAAAACAAATGATCTGTGCGGTATCCCCTCATATCGTGTACCGAATGTATACCGTTCTCATGCAGGGTATCAGACTATTTAGAAGCTTGAAAGGATGAGGGCGCTAATCAACTTCTGCAGCCTGTGAATTTTATTTTTCGAGCCTGCTGGCCGCTAAAGTCGTCGCAACACGGCGCAAAATCTTTTTAACATCACCACTGCACTGAGTGTATGTTATCAGTGGTACCCCACGTCACGTTTAAATGAGCTTTTTAATCGCGAGCAAATCGGTACAATAACTCAGTCTGTGAGACGAAGAGAACACTAAGCGGGCCCTCTGGGACCAGCAAAAACATTTTAAAAATATGACAGTTGTATTGTTTTAGAAATAGACACTAGCCACACGTACGTACACATTTACATCAAGTATGAGCAGTGCTAAACATATAATAAACGATCCAACCCGCTGTGATTAGTCTGAAGTTGGCGCCCTATAAATGTCTTAGTTGTGCAAAGCTGCAACACTTTTTCTTTGGTGAATTCACGCAGATGTGGCATTTTAAAGCAGTTTATTCCCTGTTTACTAGCATCACTTATGTGCTCCATGGGGAAATGTTTCACTGATGTCTAATTGTTTTGGCAGTTTACAGTATTATGCTAATGAGCTATCTGTAAAGGAACGTATGATGTATAATACAGCATCATGGGTGGTAATAATAAAATAAGTGTTGCAGTAATGGCAAAATCTCTTTTGTGAGTATGTGTGGTTCTGAAAAGAACCGGAGGGTACTCAACGTTTCGGAAGGTATTCTCTGCCCGTCGTCAGGAGATGCAAGTTGTCCTAGGGTATAGAAGACCCCATTGGACTGGGAGGCGAGGATGGGGCGCCAGACTCTGATGGTGAAAACGATGTCTTGGGGAACGGCGTGCATGTTGCGTTTGAAGATTTCGATGGCTTCTCTGATGCGGCGGGCGAGTTGACACTGTTGAATTGCATGCTTCTGGAGGATGCGCTGGATGTGATGTGAATTTAGTGCTACCTAAGTATGGGGGGGGGGGGGGTATGGAACTAGGGGCCCTAACTAGTTGGCTTTGGGTATAGGCGACCCTTTGGCCGGGGTGGGTCTGCAGGGTCTTGTGTCTTGACTTGGCTGGGCTTGTATCCTTTGCGTTGTAGTGCTGTGGTAAGTGTGATGGAGTTCCTGAGGGAGATTCTATTCACGTTATGAGCGCAATGGGCTATATTTACTTAGAAAATCACACTTCATCGTCTCTGCTGCTCACATGAAGCAAGAGAAATCTGCAAAGATAAAAGAAATACACTTTATTACATTTTTTAAGCACAACCAACTATCGGATTGAGAAGATATGTCATACAAATTTTGATATGCCACTTCGCGAAGACTAAGACAAAAAATGAAAATGAATAAATGAAAAATACATCTAAATCCCTTTTGCTAAATTACCTCAAGAATTGGTGAAGACTTGCTCTGCAAGCAGGTCATCAGTCCTTCCGTTGGTCCTCCTCCCTGCTTCCGGTTCCTTGGGATTCAAAAATGATTCGTCCAGAATGACATCTCATCTTGCAGACCGTCATCTGTGCCAGAAGATAGAAGGAACATGTCGTGTTGCTTATTTTTTTATTTGTGGATTCGTGAAGTTGTTAAGGATTATTATTTCACATTGCATTTATTTTTCTCTAGATTTATCGTATTTGTTAAAAAAATGTAACAAGCAGAACAACTTAAAACATCCTTTTTTCAAAATTTCGACATTTTTCGAAAGGAAAATAACATTAACTTTTTACCTGGGAAAGCAGGAATGGGTCGCCCGATAAGCAGGGTCATCCAGCCACCCAGTGTTCCTCCTCCCTGCCTCCGGTTCCTCCGCGTCATCAGCTCCTGACATGAGCACTCTGGCTTGCCGGTCCTCCTAATCTATTGCAAGTTGCTGAAAAGAAAAGAAGTCTTCCTAGCGGAGCTAGGTTTGTTACTACAATATACAGTGGTTTCCTGATTCAATTTGTGACCGGTGTTGTGGAATAAAGAGAAGGACAAAGTATATTAATGGTCCTTACCTGACCACTATAAAGATACAATCATAGAAAAAAGGAACTTGTATATTCGCGCGCTAGATATCTAGGCCTAACTGAATGAAAAATAGCCTATCTAACATACAGACGGTGAAGAAAATCCAATAAGTGGCCCTTACCTGACCACTGTAATGGATTCAACCGTTGAAAAAAAAAGCTTAGTTTATTTTAAATAAATAATTTGGCCTTCTGGTTGCGAAGATGATATTCCAGTTTGCGTAAAGCAACGCGCATCCACTGACGCGCAACGCGGTTCAAAGGGAAACAAGTTCCACGTTGCCGACCAGCAGTGATCGGACTTATCAATTTAAACTTCCACTGGTGTTGTGGTTTTAAAAATCAATTCATGTAAAATGTCTTACCCTGTAAATTCAGGCTATACACCTTAGCGATTAAAAGGTGTATCTGACGTTACAGGTGTCATTACACCTGATTTACATTAAACAAAATGACACAATGGCCCTATATAAGCCAAATGGCAATTACCGATTTGTGCGAATCGGATATTATAGAAGAACAAATCACAAACAATAATCTATGTCAATAAGACCCATTTCGACAAGGATCAGAGACAATTTCATGTCGCAAATTAATCGTGGAATCGTTAGAACCATCTTTCTGATTACGTTTCACGACCGTTACATGTTTCAAGGATCTGTAAAATCTGCACATGGCCCTATACATGTAAAGCATTTTAAAAAGATATATCAGTCTGCAAGTTTTAGTTAAGATGGTTGGGCGTGGCGTTGTAGTGGAACAAACGTTTTGCCACACAGACAAATAAAGTAGATTGCAAACATGGCCCTAAGAGTATCTCAGTCCATGAACCACAATGAAGATACAACGGACGAGGAATACACAGAGTATACAAGAAAACTTAAATCCAACATTTGAGCTTTTTAAGCTTCAAAATAGCTTAAACTTAACACATGGCCCTGCATTTTCTTTCACACAATGATTCGAACTCAAGACGGGATCAATACACAAGCACTTTTCAAGAAAATACTCAGTTGGCTTTAAGAGAAATTTATACAGAACGGAGGAATAGAAGATCTCTACACTACACCACAAATATTTTTTTTTTACAAAAAGCAAAAAAAAAACAAAGCAAGACATGTTCACATGGCCCTGGAGTCCTAATCGGTACAGAAGATAACGCAAGAAAAATTGGGTTTGGCAGAAATCTCTGCAAAATGGCGATGAAAGTTTTGTACACATGGCCCTAGGTTTTTTTCACAATGAGTATCAATGTAAAACGACGAGAAAATGCGTGATAGACGCGACTGAAATTTCAAAAAGTTTGATTCGTACACATGGCCCTAAATATCTAACAGGAATTATTAAAAACAGGAAAAACTATTCAGTGCAACCATGACCCTATACATCTCACAATCATTGTTTTAAAAAAAACAGAAGACATTATTATGCAAGATTAAACAAAAATGTTCAGATGTTGCAAATTGGAAGAGAGGCAGAACGATTTTGTACTCGACCCCAAACACAAACTCGCTCTCGTCATTTTTTCGGCTCAAAATCGAACTCGTGTCACTTTGTTCGAACTTGAGCTCAAGCACGAACTTTGTTCGCACTCGAACTCAGCACGAACCCGTTCTCGTTAACGAACGATAAATTTGTTGTTTTAATCCATACCTGCAGGTCGATATATACACCGTCTTTTTTCTTCCTATACCCACATCGGACAAATGTTTGAGCAAACAGGAATTATTAAAAACAGGAAAAACTAGTCAGTGCAACCATGACCCTATACATTTCACAATCATTGTTTTAAAAATATGTCAAACAGAAGACATCATTATGCAAGATTAAACAAAAATTTGCAGATGTTGCAAATTGGAAGAGAAGCAGAACAATTTCGTACTCGACCCCAAACACGAACTCGCTCTCGTCATTTTTCCGGCTCAAAGTCGAACTCGTGTCACTTTGTTCGAACTTGAGCTCAAGCACGAACTTTGTTCGCACTCGAACTCAGCACGAACTCGTTCTCGTTAACGAACGATAAATTTGTTGTTTTAATCGATATATACACCGTTTTTTTTTTCTCCCTGTACATAAATCGGATAAAACGATTGCCACTAACTTTGCTCGCACTCGAACTCAACACGAACTCGTACTCGTTTTTAATGAACAATACGTTTGTTGTATTAATGCATACCGCAGGTCCATTAATTGTCTTATTTTCTTCCTACACACAAATCGGACACATGCTTAAATGATTGACACTAACTTTGCTCGCAATCGAACTCAACACGAACTCGTAATCGTGAACGAACGATCAATTTGTTGTTTTAATCCCTATCCGCAGGTCCATCGTATTTTTTTCTTAATTTCTATACACAGATCGGACTAATAATTGACAATGATTGAACTTTGTTAGCACTGGAACTCATTACGAACTCGTAATCATGAACGAACGATACATTTGTTGTTTTAATCCATACCTGCAGGTCGATATGCACCTTCATAATTATCCATATACAAATCAGACAAAATGACTGACAAAATTTAATGATTGACACTAACTTTGTTTGCACTCGAACCCAACACGAACTCGTAATCGTTATACATTTGCTGTTTATACCCGCAGGTGATATCATCGTCTTATCGAACAAAATTGTTGACAATCATTTTTTTTTTCAATTTCACGGTTCCGCTCATACAGTTTCTCCTCATTGATTTATTTTTACCCTTGATGATGTTGCCTTTATACAAATCATGTAACCGGTATCTTTTTGAAAGTCATTTTCAATCGCGCTAGTGCTATAATTTCGAATGCATAATTATGTTCGGAATCTTACCATACTGGCACCCAAAACGCTGTCATTTAGAAACAAATTCTCCAATTTAGTTTGCACATCCAAGCGGCGGGATTTTCTTTTCTTTCCCATCTGTGCTTGGTGCGGTTGTGTCCTTTTAAGAATGCGGAGAGGTTCCTTGGAAAAAATATAATCACATGTATTATCTTTAACTTTATCTTTGTCTTCTTTACAAAACTAATCTCTTACAACTTTATACACGGAGTAACTCTATATATTGAATTAATTCGTTGGCGATGTAGCACCCATCAAGGGTGTCGTTCTTCTCAATAGTAGCACCCATCAAGGGTGTCGTTGTTCTCATTAGTAGCACCCATCAAGGGTGTCGTTCTTCTCAATAGTAGCACCCATCAAGGGTGTCGTTCTTCTCAATAGTAGCACCCATCAAGGGTGTCGCGTTTATCAATAGTTAAGCAATAGTTTTACAACTTTATACATTAATAATTCTGTTTAATTAATTTGGTGGCGATGTAGCACCCATCAAGGGTGTGGTGTTTCTGATAGCAGCACCCATCAAGGGTGTCGTTCTTCTCAATTGTAGCACCCATCAAGGGCGAGGTCTTTCTCAATAATATCACCCATCAAGGGTGTCGTTTTGCACACATCAAGGGTGAGTGTTAATCAGTACAATAGTAGCACCCATCAAGGGTGAGATTATTCTAGGCTGAATAGTAGCACCCATCAAGGGTGTAGTAGCACCCATCAAGGGTGTCGTTCCTCTCAATCGTTGTACCCATCAAGGGTGTCGTCCTTCTCAATATTAGCATGTTGTATTTCTCAATAGCAGCACCCATCAAGGGTGGGGTTATAGTAGCACCCATCAAGGGTGTCGTTCTTCTCATTAGTAGCACCCATCAAGGGTGTCGTCCTTCGTCTTTCTCAATCTTATATTTTAACGCCATTCCAATGGACATTACCCAAAACAACAGTTTACGGGATTATTTCGGAAACGTTTTAAAGGAATATGAACATCTTTACACCATTAGTTCTTCAAGGTAATTCCTTTGTCTTTATACAAATATAATCAGCAAATTTAATTTGGCTGTGATGCGGCAAAGCTCAAGGCAATGCCATTGATTTGATATTGATTTCTGTTGATATGATAACATCTTCGAGGGTCCATCTTCATCGCTGATTCTTCAGTTTGTATTATTCACATAAAATCCAAAACGTTAAAACTTAACTTTTTTATCCTTCAACTGGTGTTATTATTGCCAATTGATGCACAAAGTATTGTCAGGATAACGTTGGTTGAAATTAATAATAACTTTCGTTTTCTCCCAAATTCCCAAAGTTCCTATTGTCTTGCAAGCTGCTATTTTTTTCGCTGTTTGCAGTACGCTTTAGCTCCCTAAACTTTATATATTATTATTATTATGATTATGATTGTTTATTATGTTATTATTTTATTACCACCTGCTCTTTGTACACTTTTATATTCATATTTTTATTTGATTACATAGCTTTGCCTTAATCTTTTTCTTTAAAAAGGAAAACCTTTGAGTTTTTCTGGCCTTTGAATTTTAAAATTTCTGATACAAATCTTCAAATTATTTTCCAGTTAATGTGTTATTAGGAAAGCTGTTTTTACGATTTTTATTCAGTAAAAGACACTTATTTTTCATAATAATTATATTTTTAAGAGCTCCGTATAGTAGCCATGGGTTGTTAAATCTATTGTTGTTTTTTTATCACGAAAGGTAGACATCTATCATCCGTTTTTAATGAAATAATAAACTGATTTGGTATCGGGAAATATAAATAACAATATATCGTCAACCAGTGAATAATCGTCTCTGGATGACGATATCCTACAAGATATCATCGACCCAAGAAAAATTACTATCTCGAGCAGATAACATCTCACTCAAAAGATATAGTCAACCCGAGAAATAGTATTTTTCCTCGAGAAGACGATATCTCACCTAAAAGATATCACCAATCCGCGATGAAATATTATCTCGGAAAGACGATATCTAACCTGCAAGACATCATCTACTCGAGATATACTTTTTCTCGAAAAGATGACATCTGTCCAACACGATATCTTCAACCCAAGAAATGTTTTCTTTCTTGGGAAGAGGATATTTCACCTACAAGATATCATCGACCAGAGAATTGTTTTCTCGAGAAGACAACATCTCACCCTACAAACAAGATATCACCAACCCGTGATGACACATTATCTCGGGAAGACGATGTCTTATTAACAAGATATCATCAACCCGGGAAATATTTTTTCCGGGAAGACGGCATCTCACCTACAAGATATCTTCAACCCTTGAACACTTTCTCGGGAAGACGATATCACACCTACAAATATAAATAGCATCACGAAAACTACCACAAAGATGTCCTGC